ACACACACATGCACACACACACTCTTTCCTGGCCTGGCCTCCACATGTACACACACATATGCTCATACATGCACACAGGCACCCTTTCCTGGCCAGCACAGAGAACCAGGACAGCGCGGACTCAGCACATACAGGCCTAGCTGGATGGGACAATTGGATCTGCTGTGTGCACCCCCTCCTATGACATGTGGCTTTCGTGCCCTCTTCTCTCCTGGGAGAAAAGTGACTTTCTACCTTAGGATCAGTTCCTTCCAGCGAGTGCCATCAGGGCAGTGATCTGGAACATTCAGCAGACATCCCTCTCCCCCCCGGCCCGCGATAACATGCTCACTCCGCGATTCTTGTTTATTCCAAAGGGAAGTCTACGTGGGCCTGTCTAAAGTTCACGGGATCTTTCAGTGAACTTACTTGGGAACGTGAGCAATGGGGACATGATTCATTGAGACTTACGGTTTCCTTCTAATTAGTGAAGAAGGTAGGAAGAGCAATTTAAGGGGTTTAAGGAGAAAGAGAAGACATCTGCATTTGAGAAAGTAATTGTTCTAGATGTCCATTTGTTTAAAAGTTTTTTTTTTGTTTTTTTTAATGATCATGCTGGCTCCTTTCTGCTACCGCCCGGAACTTTTCAAGGGCGGGGCTTTCTCGTCCCTCCCTGCAGGTGTGGCGATTCCTCCTGACCAGGGGCAGCTGTCCCCGCCTTCCAGACCAGTCTCCCATAGGCTCCAGGACCAGGCGCCGACCTTGTTTCTTAAGATGTGGCTTTGCTCCTGCCTCCCGCCCCCCGAACACACCACAGCCAAAAATGTCACTAATTTACAGGGTGACCATATGTTCCCGTTTGTCCAAGACAGTCCCAATTTATACCCTTTTTTATTTAGAGTATCCTGATTTGGATAATAAATCATATGGCCACCCCTGTCCATCGTCTGGAGGCATGATCCTTGCAGAGATCCACCTGGACACATCTCCTGCTTACCACGTGGAGGCTGCCTGGTCTTCCTTTGGAACATATCCTGCCTCAACGGCACCCCCGTACTCTCTCGCCCAGCCTGACCTGACACTGATCTACTAGGAGTTTAGGAAATCACCTCTGTAATTCTACAGACCCAGAGGAGTGTGAGTGTGTGTGTCTGTATACACAGAAGAAAGAGAATTATGAGACATTTGCTTATAACAGCTTATTTTTATCTAAGAATCTGTGCAGGTATTCACTATACTCTTATATTAGGAAAAAAATTGAAATTTTAGTAAAGATACTCCTAACTTGTATTATAAAACACCATTTGACAGAGCCAAATGGAAAAGACCACCGAAAGCAAATATTGTTCTCAACAGAGCAGCGATCTGAAATTTCTGACTTTCATAGTCACTCGATTTCAGCTTAGACAGTGAAACTGCACAGATTCTTTTCATTTTGAATTTATCATTCAATTCACTTCCTGTTATTGTTATCCCAACACTGGAGAGAAACGTTTCATTTCCAGAAGTTTTCGTTTAACTTTAATAGGAAACAAACCCATGCAGATCTACTTTTTTAAAAAAAATAAATAAATAAACATTTCAGCCTGAACACAAACCTGCTTGATTATAAGAACTAGCTTACCTAATAATTTCATAATGCTAGCATCACCCTAATTATATCCCGTGGCCGTTCCAGGCATGATCACAAGGCCTTTGAAACGCGTACGATGAACTTGGACTGACCCCAGACCACGGGACCCAAGTGGCCTGCAGCTGATCCCCCTGCTGGCAGCTGGAGCAGCCAGCACAATTTCAAGTTCTGCCCTTTTTGTTGGGTTCTGAGGGCTTGCAGGGGTACTTACGTCTCGTCCGTGAACGCTATCCCAAAGTACTCCTTTTCCTTCAGATTGAAGTGAGACGCCACGAGGTCAAGAAGCTCCTTGGCCAAAAGCTTGGGCTGGGGGGAGAACACAGTGGAGAAGGGTAAGTGACATGAGACTGCTCTTCCTATAACAGGCATCTCCGGCTGCCATCATTTTTCCAATGGAATGTCCCAAAGCTTAAGTAGGTCGATGCAAATGATTTTGATCAATCCCAAAGGAATAGACAAGGAGGACATCAGTGAGCAAACAGCCAAGTCAAGGGCGATCGCCAGACCGAGACCTTTTGTTTTGTTTCCGAGCAGTTGTGTTCTGTGAACAAATGACACTGGCTCTTTAGCAGAGTCATCAAACTCGTGGCTTTCCTTCCTCATATTTTAAGCTGAATCCAAAGGAAGATGCTTTCTTTTAAAAAAGTTAATATATTTAGCAAACACTCATACAGTAGTTGCTATGTGGCAGGCACTGCTCTAAGCACTTTACAAATACTATTATCTTTAATCCTTATCACGACCCTATCAGGTTGTTCGTTGCACAGGGAGGAAACCACCACCCACAGATTAAGCAAGTGTTGGGATTGGGATTTGAATCCTGGACATCTGGCTCCAGAGACTCTATCCTCAGCCACTCTGTATGTTCCCATAATTTTACATACAAATAATAAAAGTACCTGCCTGCAAAAATTGTTCAAATTAAGGCCAAAGAGCCTTGGGAATAGTATTGAAGAATAAACTAAAAATCCGTCCTCCCTTTGCCTTTTTGAAGAAGAATAGTCTTTACCTAAGGATGTTTTATTATAACATAAAACTCTTTCTTTAAAGTCTCTGCCAATCTAAAGAAATGCATCAGAGCTTTAGGCACAAAATCTTGGTAGATGTTTGTGAGTATTGTCAACGCGTTATTCTCCTTGGTCCATCACTATTGAAAGGATCAAAGAACACCAGGCATGAAAGATGGGGAAGAGAGAAAGGCTGTCTGATGAGAGGCCTAAAAGAGAATAGTTATTTCTAAATTAGTTTCCAGGCCATGCATATGAAAACACATTGCCTTATTCTGCGACAGCTGCTCTATTCCAAGCACACTCATTGGGTATCTCCTAAGCTCAGAGCAAAAACAAAGATTCCGGGAGAGAAAATGTGTGTGTGTGTGTGTGTGTGTGCGCACATTTATATACATTATTTTCAGTCTTCCTGAGTATATTTCTTATGCTGGTGGCTAGGCCATTTCTCTTTTAGGAGAGTAGGTAAGATATAAATCAAATGTTATATGACAGTTTGGTCTTATTTCACTTTTTGGGTGCTATTATGGACTAAATTGTGTCTACCCATAATTCATGCATTGAAGCCCTAAAATAGCGTTTGGAGGTGGGGCTTTTGGGAGACAATTAGGGTTAGATGAGGTCATGGGGGTGGGGCCCCCATAATGAGATTAGTGCCCTTACAAAGAAGAGCTTGCTTCTTCTCTCTCTCTGCCATGTGAGGACATAGTGGGAAGGTGGCTGTTCACAAACCAGGAAAAGAGCCCTCGCCAGGAAGGGACTATGCTGGCCTCCTGATCTCGGACTTCCAGCCTCCAGAACTGTGAGAAAACAGATTTCTGTTGTTTAAGCCACTCAGTCTATATGGTATTTTGTCATAGCAGCTGGAACACACTAATACAGGTGTACTTCCATTTCATACAACCGACATTATTAATTGAGTGCCTACTGTGTGCAGGGGAACAGCCAAATGCTGTAGGCGATACAAAAATAAGACACAGCACCTGGCGAGACGGACCTCAAACTGTGTCAGAGCCACAGAGTAGGAGGAGCTAGGGTTCAGTTTAAAAAGCCAAAGCAGATGTTCCCTCCTTTGCTGCCTCACTCCTGGGCTCCTGGGGGCAGCCTCAGGGCCTCAGTGACCATCACTTCACCAGTGAAAACCTGCTGAAACTGGTTTTGAACTGGTTCGAGCTGGTTCGTCGGTGGTTCAAACCCAGACGACAGAAACAGACAGGAGAATCCATCACGACAAATCAACACCATCTAATACAGTCTATGCTTCCCTTCACACGAAATATTGGCAACGTGTAGAAGCAATCTTTGTAACCAACAGGGAACTCAAGGTGACAGACTGGATCCTCCTTCACTCATGGTGGAACTTCTGTCCCAGGGGGAATGCAGTGGGGTATATCTGGCACATCTCACAACAGTCACCGATGGATTACGAAGCAGAACGCAAGATGAAGGCTCTTGAAGCTTCCAGTAAATGCTGAGTTTGCCATGGGCTGCTGCAGGCTCTGCTGTCTGCACCACCTCCACCCCAGAAGGTATTCGGCTGCCCACTAACAAGGCACTGGATGGATCAGTCGTGACTATGAGGCAGTGTGGCTGCTTTCAAATTGCAACGTACAGATACTCCTTGACTTAGGACGGGGCTACCTCCCGATACACTCGTTGGAAGTCGAAAATATTGTAAGTCAAAAATGCATTTAATACACCTAACCTACCAAACATCACAGCTTAGCCTACCCTACCTTAAACTGCTCAGAACGCTTCCATTAGCTTATAGTTGGGCAAAATCATCAAACACAAAGCCTATTTTATAATGTAATAAAGTGCTGAGTAGCTCATGTAATTTACTGAACACAGTACAGTGTAGTCTATGGGTTGTTTAGTCTTGTGACTGTGTGGCTGACCAGCGTCTCTAGACAGGACTGTACTGCACATCACTAGCCCAGGAAAAGAGCAAAATTCAAAATACAAAGTGCAGTTTCTACTGAATGCACATTGCTTTTGCGCCATTGTGAAGGTAAAAAATTGTAAGTCAAATCATCGTAGATTGAGGACTGTCTGTATAAAAATCCACCTGTTCAAATGACTGCCATCCCTTTCAAAGTAGACACCGTATTTCCATGAAGCTTGCTATTTCTTAAAACATTTCTGATAATCTTTCGGGTTTGCCTTGAAGTCTGTGTCAGATGTGTAAAACATTTTCACTGGTGATAAATCTTCTTGTACCCAGAATGGACTTGATTTTTTTTCAAATGTTAAAAGTCACTTGAAGTCAAGTCAATGGAGCGTGAGGAGGAGGAGGAGGAGAAGGAATAGGTGACCAAGCTGGGTCAACCCAGTTTCACAAAATGAGGCGTGACTATAAAGTAATTATTGCGGGTTCTCGGTTACTATGGCAAGAGGTCCAGCCCAAACTTGGAAATGACAGAAATGAGATTTCATTCTCTTTGAGAGTTAAACTTTAAAGCCAATGCCTCAATAGACTTGATGAGAGATACATAAATTTGTCCAGGAAGAGAAAGAATGATTCCCAGGGTTGGTGTAGTGTATCTACACCATGATTAAATATATTTTCTGCTCCATGGAGTGGGTGAGGGTGAATGGAAGGGGGTGTGCGGAGAGGAGGGGGAGGGCAGTTTGGGGAAGAAAAGAAGGAAGCCGGGAAGGCAAATGTGACCTTAGCCAACAGGCACTGAGCACCTGGCCACTTCCCCAGTGGTAAGACCTTTCATATGGCAGAAGCATGGGGTTGCTTCAGCCGATCATATTATGTTAACTCTCCTCTAAGTCCATGTCTTCTAAAGAACTCATTGTGCTGACGATGCTGACCTCACAATCGTCTAGAACAGAGATCATCAGTACTTTGCCAAAGAAGATTCTGAGGCCTGGAGACCTCAGACAGCCTGTCCTCCCTCTCACAGCAAAGTCAGGATTCGAAACAAGGTTTGGATAACACTCCATGGAATATTATTTAGCCAGGAAAAAGGAAAGAATTTCTGACACGGATGGACCCTGAAGACATTATGCTAAGTCAAAGAAGCCAGACACAAAAGGACAGATACTGTCATAATTCCACTTGGATGAAGTAATTACAAGAAGCACATTTAGGGAGACAATATAATAGAGGTTACCAGGGGGATGGGGGGAGGAAAGGATGGAGAGTTATTATTTAATGGTTGCAGAATTTCTGTTTAGGATGATGAAAAAGTTTTGGAAATAGTAGTGACTGTTACATAACATTGTGAATACACTTCATGCCACTAAATTGCACACATGCAAATGGTTAAAACGGTAAATTTTAGGTTATGTATATTTTGACACAATGCAAAAGCAAAAAAACCAATGAGGTCTGGCTGGCCTCAAAGCCCATGTGCATAACCACTCTGCCATCCCTCCTCTGCTGAGGCTACTCTCTGGGTGAGAGGTCAAGGATCATGTGCCTTGAAGGCCCCAGCTGGGTGAGGGCTATATCGCTCACTTGAAACCAGCACACTGGCAGTATGGGTTTATACATCAGTTACCTTGAACTTGGGTAATGTGAGTCTTCCCCTGAGGATGAAAAATCAGGTTTCTGAGCCTGCACAGATAAAGAGACGGCTGGCCACAGTGAAGAATTCACCAGAGGAACGAATGCCACCTTGGAAGCCTTGTGGAAACTGACTTTTGGCCTCCTCCTGGTGATACATCCCTCTGATACAGCCTGTCACACAGCCCTTTTTCTATTGGAATGTCTACAATAAGAAAATGACTTTTCTTGGTGACTCATAAACTAAAGGGCTCTGAGCAGTAAGTAACGCCATCGCTGGAATAAACTTCGTCCTTTCAGATGAAATCTTTTTCATTTGATGCATAGGTTATTAGATCAAAATTGACATTACAAAGGTCAGTCCCATTACTTTACACAACAGTTATTAGAGATCATAGGTAGCACTTTGAGGAAGAAAAGCCCACATTTATCACCCACAATTTATAAATGCAGCAATGAAGGCTGCGAAGGGATTCCAGAAGGTGGCAAGGTTATAACTCCTGCATCTGAACTCCTTTAAAAAGCCACACACTGTTTTTCTACTGTCATGGTGACTGGCCACAGCCCAGAAAGTGGCTGCTCCATTCAACACCCTACAGATAGTGTGAGTGAGAAATAAACCTCATTGCTTAAGTCTCTGAGATTTGGGGGGTAGTCTGTCATTATAGCAGAACCTAGCCTATCCTGATTCATCAGGCACCGAATCGTTAATTCTCTGTACGGTTGGTTGAAAACTGTTTAAGGCATCAGCCCCTTGATTTCCTGATCTTGCAAACTAA